CCCCACCCCGAGGTGTTGGCTCCTCTGGTTGGGGAGAATTGGCAGCATCTCAGAGCTCAGGGTGGGCAGAGCAACCTGCTGGGTGCAGCTGGGCATTTGTGGGGTTGGTGAAATGAGCTGGAGGGCAGCTTCAGTGCCCCACAGGCCTGGGCCTGCTGCTGTTCTGGACATTGCACCATGAGAGCGCAAAGGCTCTTTGCAGTTACTTTGGTTTTTAAAAGTAACGTTTTATTATTATTTTTTTAGACAGAACGTTGCTGTCACAGGCTGGAGTGCAGTGGCATGGTCTCGGCTCACTGCAATCTCCGCTTCCCAAGTTCAAGCAATTATTCATGCCTCAGCCTCCCAAGTAGCTGGGAGTACAGGTGTGTGCCATCACACCTGGCCAATTTTTTGTATTTTTAGCAGAGACAGGGTTTTACCATGTTGACCAGGCTGGTCTCAAACTCCTGGCCTCAAGTGATCCTCCCTTCTTGGCCTCCCAAAGTGCCGGGATTACATGTGTGAGCCACTGTACCCAGCCTTTTAGAAATGGACCTATTAAACTTCCAAATTAAAAAATGAAATTTCATTAGGGGATTCGCATGGCTCCAGAAAGGTACAAATGCAGTGTTGGAATCCAGTCCCTCAGGAGGCCTCCAGAGCGCTGCCTCATTTATAAGCAGTTCCCTTCACATTTTTCTTTCTTTGCTTTTTTTTTTTTTTTGAGGCAGAGTGTTGCTTTGTTGCCAGACTGGAGTGCAGTGGCAAGATCTTGGCTCACTGCAACCTCTGCCTCCCAGGTTCAAGTGACTCTCCTGCTTCAGCCTCCCTAGTAGCTGGAATTACAGGTGCATGCCACCACACCTACCTACTTTCTGTATTTTTTGTAGAGATGGGGTTTCACCATGTTGGTCAGGCTGGTCTCCATCTCCTGACCTCAAGTGATCCACCCACCTTGGCCTCCCAAAGTGCTGGGATTACAGGTGTGAGCCACTATGCCTGGCCGTTCCCTTAACATTTTTGTACATCTGAAATGTCATGGTTTGTTTTCTCTTTAAATGTTCATCCCGTGGAGCACAACTTTGGTAGAATTCTAACAAGTCAAATACAGAAGTTAGGTGAAGTCCGTTTTTGGATATTCCAGTACCATCACTCTGGTCTTACCTCATGCCTAAGCCCAAGCTATGCCCACAGTGGGGTCCTAGGTCCTTCTCCCCTCCCAGATTTTGTGTTTCCAGGGATGGGACCCCCAGAAGCTTTGGGGGCCTGGGCAGCAGCTTCGCTGGCTCTCACCTTCCTAGGAGCTGAGCAGGAGCTCCACTCCACAGCAGGGCAGGGTGCCCTAGATGCAGGACTTTGAGGCACGAGGGGGTTCCTCAAGGAGCTGTGAAGCCGCAGGGCCAGGGCTGTAGCCAACAGGACACATCCTGGCCCTGCTAGGGGAGCTGACTCGCGGCTCGGAAATCATTCAGTGATGTCCACACTTGGCCTCTGTTCATGATGCTGCTGCTTTGTCATGGCCTGAAATGGCAGCACACCCCCTTTTGTGCCCCGATCCTCTGCTATTTGTAATAGATGTGACGGTGACGGGACAGACTCACTTTGTCCACACGCACAGGCCTGGTGGCCAGCAGTGCCCAGCACTCGGGAGCTGGTGGTGGGCCCTCTTAGCTTACCATCAGGACTCCCAGCCTCTGGTTGGACTCTCAATGCTGGTGGAATCACAGTGTGACTAGGCATATCACCATCCAACTCTAAAAGGACAGCCTGCCCTCAGCAGGGCTTCCTCTCTCTCCAGCTTCAGCTTCCTTCCCTCGACCCCACCTGGGACCTGTCTGTCCTTACTATTTTGCTGTGTCAGTGGCTCCCCCACTGGACACCAGTACCACGCCTGAGAGGGTGGACCCCTGCAGGCTTCAGCTCTGTGCCCCTGCTGTGGGTGGCTGGGTAGCTGGGTCTAGAACCTACCTCCCCTGGGGAAGTGGTTCTAGACTACGGTGGCTGTTCTGTCCTAGGCCGGGCCCAGACCACCACACCACCCACCCTCAAACAACCCCAGTTGGCTTTGGCCGAGGAACAAACCAGCCCCAAACTTAGAGGATGGAACAGTGGCGTGTTCCGTCGGCCAGAGGCAGGCTGAATCAGCTGGTGCTTCTGCTGCTGGCTGTGCCTGTGTCCCTTCTGCACCTGTGACCAGCTGGGGCCGGTGGGGCCTAATGACCTCATTCATGGCCGGGGCAGTAAAGGAGACTGCGTCCTGTATCCAGCGTCCCACAGGCCAGCCCAGGCTAGGCTGTGTGGTGGGCTTAGGCTTCCAGAAAGCCTGGATAGGGCAAGCCTCTGCTTGTGTCACCTTTGCTACCTCCCTGTTGGCCAGAGTGCCTCATGAGGCCAAGGCCAGATGCCAGGTGGAGTGAGCTGCTGCCCTATGCTGGGAGGAGCACAGTTACATGGCAGAGGCTGTGAACACCAGCAGGGGAGGGGGCAGCCAGCAGTGGCAGCCTGGCTCTAGGGTTAATGTCCTGGGGTTGAGAAGGCACAAGCTGGAGATCAGGGCAGTGTGGCAGAGGTGGGTGCCTGCTTTAGTTGGGTGGTCCCAACACCGGAACCCAGCCCAGGGATGTAGGGAAAGGGCTTATGGCTGATGGGTACTCTGGGAGCTTGAGCTGGGGTGGGTTGGGGGAGGGTGTGGGAAGCACAGCACAGGCCCCGACCGTCACGCAGGTGATGTGTGAGGAGCAGGCGGAACTTGTCCCAGCGTGGGGGCCCCAGTGCTGTGCAGACCAGCTATGTCGGGATACCTGGATACAGGAAGCTGGAGATGAAACTTCAGAACTGTCACTGCATGGATATTTCAAACCCTGAGAATTTTTGTGAAACCCTATAACGGGTGGTGTCAGGACAGAGTTTAGGGCTCCCACCCCCTATCTGAGCAGTGTCACATCTGCAATTTAAAATTTTTTAGTAGCTACGTTAAAAGGGAAACTGAATTTCAGTAATACATTTTAATTAACCCAAAATATATAAAATATTACCACTTCACATTGTATTCAAGTTGCTTTTAGAAAAGTGATGTGACATTTTGCATTATTTTACTACAAAGTCTCCTAAATCCTGAGTATTTGACACTTGCAACATATCTCGATTCAGGGCAGCCACCTTCCAAGGACTCAGGGGCTGTGGCAGCCGTGTGGGACAGAGCAGCTGTGGGGCGCAGAACCCGGGAAGGACTTGAGGGAGGGATGGTGGGAGAGCCCAGGAGCTTCCCTGCCCTGTGGGGCAGGCTCCTGGGTGGGTCAGGGCCTCAAGAAGGGCTGCACTTCCAAAACGGGAGGTGGACAGGTGGGGGTGGGGATGGCAGGAAGGGGGCCTTGCTAAGGGCCGAGCCTCCCCAGGGGGAAGAGTAGGGCAGCCCAGCAGAGTCCTGCTGGGAAGAGGCCTCACTGGGGCAGGGCTGGGCTATGGGCCCACCTCACAGGGGATGAAGTCTGGGGAGTATAGATGGGGAACCTAGGGTGGCAGGACAGACTCAGAGCTGGGACAGGGGCCCTGTACCCTTGCACTGGGGGCAGTGTCCTGGAACTGGCCCTCAGCTCCTGGCTTCACCTGCACAGGATGGAGGAGCTGTGCCTGCATCCTGCTGGCCACCAGGTGTATTTTGGCCAGCTGCTGGGCATGTGTGACCAGATCAGTTTCCCGCTGGGTGAGTGGGGCCCTCCCTGGTGTGGTGGGGTGGGGTGCTGGGCCTGGGCTTCATGGCGCATCTCTCCTCCACGCAGGCCAGGCCGGCTACCCTGTGTACAAGTATATGCCCTACGGCCCGGTGATGGATGTGCTGCCCTACCTGTCCCGCCGTGCCCTGGAGAACAGCAGCCTCATGAAGGGCGCCCGTCGGGAGCGGCAGCTGCTGTGGCTGGAGCTCTTTCGGCGGCTCCGAACTGGCAGCTTCTTCCATCGCCCTGCCTAGCACCCTTGAGCCCACCCTGGGCCTCCAGTCACCCCAGCTCTGGCCTCCAGGGACCCTTGCCCCTCCAGGCCATCACCATCCTCACACAGATTCACCTTTTTTCACCCCACACTTCAGAGCTGCTGGATGTGGGCCAGGTGCCTCCCAGCTCCGCCCAGGGTGTGGGCCGAACCTGATACCTGCCTGAGAAAGCTGCTGGGAACTGTCGGGAACTCTCCTGGGATGTGTGGGCCCAAGCCCTCACCTCCATGACCCACATGTCCTTGGACCTAGAGGACTGTCTGCCTTCTGCCAGGGCCAGCCCACAGAGCTCGAGCCCCTTGGGGACAGTGGCCGGGCTGGGGAGGCCTGCCTGGTCAATAAACCACTGTTCCTGCAGCTGAGAGCACTTGTTCCCACACAAGGTCAGCTCTGGATGGCAAGCGGGAGGGGCTCAGACTCGCCTCCAGCGTCATCTGTTCCTGGAGGCTAGGCCCTGTACAGACCTAGCCACCCAGGGTGCTGGACACCCCCAACCCTGACTCCACAACTCAGGACCCAGCAGGGCCCCTGGGCTTGGGGCAGCATGGAGGGGACTCATGCAGATGCAGAGGCCAAGCTCCCCAGGTGGGCCTGACACCCCTCCCCCTGGGGCTCCTCCTCAGACCACTCCCTGCCATCCGGAGTCCTCCACACCGGCACCCCCTCCCCCCGCCCACCACCACAGCAACCATGACCTGTATCAGGCTCCTCCTAGTGGTTCCCACAGGACACTGACCAGGCTGCAGCAGGTACACACTCAGCCCCCAGTCCCACGAAGCAGGCTGGATGTGGTCCTCAGGCCCTGGGGCTTGGATGGGGGCCCCGTGCAGATGGTAGTGACAGCATCCTGGGACCAGGGCTGGGGCAGGAAAGGTCTGGAGGCTCCCAGTCTCCATGCAGGGGGAGGGGTGGTGGGCTGGGCACACAGCCCAGGAAGGGACCCCCAGGCAGGGTCCTCTGCTGCAGCAGAGGTGGGGGCCATACCAGGGCTCTGGTTATGGCAGAACCCACAGCTGTCACACAAGCCACATGCAGGCCACACTGAGGCATCTTTATTTCTCTGAGTCACACAGAGCTTGGGCCTTGGAGCCTCTTCTGCATGGGGGCTACAGCTGCCAAGGGAGAGGTGGAGACCAGAACAAGCACTCGGGTGGGCCCCAGTGCAGGTTGCGACATGCCCCGCGGAGTGAAAAGGTGTGAGAACCCCCATGCCCACTCGCCTGGCCCTGAGGCAGGTAGCGGCAGGCTGGACCCACCTCCCCTTTATGACATGCTAGCATTTGGCAGAAAGTCCCAGATGAAGATAGGGACAGGCAGCCAGGGTCCACCTGGCCTCTCCTCAGCAGGGAGACCCTGCAGGCAGCTGCGAAGGCAGTGGCCAAAGGTCAAGAAGATGAACTCTGCCCAGCCTCCTGCTGCCTGTGACTATGGTGGGACAGGGCTGCCTTCCTGGTCACACTGAGCAGCAGGTGGCTGCCAGCGACCTCCCAGTCCCAGGGATGCCTTCCCTGCCTGGCAGCCCCTCTGCTGCAGCTTCCGGATGAGCTCCAGCAGGTTCATCTGCAGCATCAGCTCCTGGGATATAGAGGGGCCCCATGAGCATCAGAGTGCCCAGGCCCCATTCATCCCAGCCTAGAGATGCCAGGCAGTGAGCCCATGGGGTGACCATCCTGTGAAGCCGGTCATGGCCTGCCAGGAAAGGGTGGAATCTAAGCCTCTGCTCCCAGCAGGGCCATTCAGAATGGCATGTGGGAGGAGAGCAGAAGAGGGCCATGTGGGCCTGGGGAGGGTGGGCAGTGCCCCATGGCTGGCTGGCTCACCCTCCTGTAGGGAGTGGGCCCAGCCTCTGTGCTGGGAACAGCATAGATATCCTTTTTGGGGCCTCAGTCCTTCCACTTCATCCCTATACTCTAAGCCTGGATTCTCAGAGACCAGATGGAATGGGGTCTTCAGGGCTCAGGGGCACTCGGGCTAGGGCAGAGCAGGCCCAAGCACTGACCTGCGGGTTGGTGGTCACGTAGAAGCCAGCCACCCCCGCCTTCTCCAGTGTGCTCTGCTGGTCAGCCACCTTCCGGTCCAGCTCCAGGACGATCTTCCGGTCCATTGCCCGCTGCTCCTCACGGATCCGGTGCTCAACCGCCTGCCGTGGGTGAGGGAGGGTGAAGGCGGCTCAAACAAGTGCCTGCTGCCGTCCCCAGTGGCACCAGCTCTGACACCACTGATGCATCCTCACCACATCCAGGCCTCTCCTCGGCCAGCCAAACCCTGAAGTGGGGCTCCAAGGGCCTTACACGAATGCCTTGGGACTGCACATGCGTCCCTGCAGGAACCCCCTGCCCCTTGGCTTGTTGGTTAAATGCCAGTCTCCGGCTGTCCCTGTGCTCCCTGGGAGAAGGATGGGCCCCTTCCTGGCTGGCTCCATCACCCCACCATTGCCCTTGTACCCCCGAGGCCACCTGCTCTGTGGAGGCCCCAACCCACAAGGAGCTGCTATGCAGGGGAGCACTGGTGGGCCTTCACCCTCCACCCAGCCCCAGCACACCTGGTGGGACTCACTAGGCCTCCAGTGGCCCATTCAGGC